GAAGAACTGAGTATGGCATTAGGGGTATGTGGTGTCGTTATTAGCTTGGGATAAAAGGCAGTAATGCTTATATATTTTATGAAGTAGATTTTAAAATGAGGCTTGGTATAATTTTATTTTTGGTATGGTTAAACTAGATTGTGAGTTTTTAATTTTTTTTGTAATAAAAAGTATTTAATTGATAAACTTAGGATTGTACTAATATGCTTAATATGTATTTGGATTATTGGTTTAAATGTATTTAAAAAGAAAAGAAAAAGAACATTCTAGAGAATTTATACACAGTTGTTTTTACAATTGTGATTGGAACCTAATAGGTTCATGAAAGGAATATAGAATTGAAATCCCAGAGAATTTTTGGAAGGAAGTGATGACTTATTGTAGCCATGGTAAGTGTAGTTTAGGGAGGTTAAAAAGGGCATGAGAGGCAATAGCTAAATTGAATCCATTAGTTGGTCAGTCAAACCCCATTCCGTCTTTGAAGCTAACAGCATTTCTTTGCTCTTGGGTAAGTTGCCAATTTATGCTTTTTTTCTTCATATTTCCTTATATTGTGCTGTATTGAACACATTTTAGCTTTGCATGATGCATTCTTGTTTCACTTTATTGTATCACCTGAGTTCCTCTTAGCCTCTGAATGAGGAATAGCTTCATAGCCTTTAAGAATTGCTTTCTTTTGTCAATTTCAATTCATCTGTGAGTTTTCTTCCAATCACTTGATCAAACAGCTTAAGCAAAGCAAAACAAAGAATAAAGAATAATGATAAAAATGCTTTCTCATGCTTTCTGTCTTCAGCCTTAAGATAATTCTCAAGATGTGTGTGTGTGTGGGGAGGGGGGGGTGCGTGCATGTTTGTGTGTGTGTGTGTGTGCGTGTGTGCGTGCATGCATGTGTATGTGTATGTGTATGTGTGTTGTGTGTGTTGTGTGTGTGTGTGTGTGTGTGTGTGTGTGTGTGTGTGTGTGTGTGTGTGTGTGTGTGTGTGTGTGTGTGTGTGTGTGTGTGTGTGTGTGTGCGCATGTGAGAGCAGGTGTGTATATGTGTGTAGGTATGTGTGTGTACATGTATGTATATGTGTGGGTGTGGTTGTGGTTGAGTGATAGTGTGTGCTTATGCACACATCTGTGTGTGTTCATACGTGTGTTTGTGTGTAAAAGCTTGTGTGTGTGTTGTGTTGTGTGTGTTCTTGTGCATGTATGTGTGTGTGTTCTTGTGCATGTATGGGTGTTTTTTGTGAGTATGTGAGTGCTTGTAAATATTTCTGTGCATGTGTGTTGTGTGTGTGTAAGTTGTCGGATCCTGTTTTTCTTGTGTACATTCTGTGTGCAGTAAGAAGAAGAAGAAGAAGAAAAAAAAAATTCTATTTACCTAACACACTTCACGCCAAACTAACCATTTTACTTAACTGGAATGAAGGTATTTAAAAAGAGAGCAGACAATATCAAGGACATGAACATTAAACAACCATTCTTGAGGGACACTCAACAACACCCAGAATCTCAAGCTATACCCATGCCTTTATATTTACAATGCCCCTATTTTGCAGGCTCTTCTATGCTGGTGCCCTGGAGGGCCAAATGCCTGAGATCTTGACCATGATCCAGGTCAAGCGCATGACCCCAACACCTGCTGTACTCTTTATGGCATTCCTCAGCCTTGCATATCTTGGATCCAGCAACATCTTAGCACTCATCTCTTACGTCGGATTTGCTACTTGGGTTTGTGATTTTTTTTCTGTTTTTTTCTTTTTTGTTTTGTTTATGAAAGTGATGTGCCAAGTGCAGTGACTGCTTTTTAAAGAAATACCTACCTGGCATTACTGTTTTATTTGATAACCCATTTTTTCTTAATATTGATTAATTTTTGTATCAAAACCTCTTTCTATTAGTTACCCCATGGTATACATGGGGTGAATGTAGCTAACTATTAGTCAAAGCATAAAATAACCCCAACAAATTCTTCATGCCATCATACTTTGTAATCATACAAAAAAAACAAATCAAAGAAAACAATGCTATTACAAAATTACTCTTTCTCCCTCTTGCCAGCTGTCTATTGGCCTGGCAGTTGTCTGTGTTCCTCTGCTGCGCTACACACACCCTGACCTCGAAAGGCCCATCAAGGTGAACCTCGTGTGGCCCATTCTCTACATCATTGCCACCATCTTCATCACAATCGTTCCGATGATTGCAGCTCCTATTGAGACTGGTGAGTTTGGGATTGAAGAATGGAAATTAGGATTTAGATTAGGGAGTGAAACTGACTGTAAAGAATTCTGATCAGAGATTGAGACTGATGGGATTAAGGAGCAAGAATTAAAGAGTAACACGAGCTGTGTAGATTTTGGAAGAGGGAGTGAGATTTTGATTGTAAAGACAAGTGAGTGAGATTGAGATCAATAGAAGAGAATAGGGAGAGAGCTGTGATTGTTTTCTGAGCTTAGGGAGTGATTGTTAGGATTAGGAATGAGAATCTTTGGAATAGGGATATTAGAGTTTA